TATGTGACAGTTAGGAATAAAACTAGACTGATTATTCTTAACAAGAAAGGGCATCAGAGGTTTAAGCTTGTTGGCCAGGCATTTCGCAATGACCTTGTATCCTACGTTACATAAACTGATCGGCCTAAAGAGGTTCATAGAAGAGGGGTTCTCAGTCTTGGGGATCAGGGTCAATAACGTTTCATTAAGGGTCCTAATTCTGCTAGGGTTCCTAAAACATGAAAGGATAAACGTAGTAAAGTCAGGACCAATAACTTTCCAGCATTTCTGGTAGAAGATGGCCTGGAAGCCATCCTTTCCAGGTGCCTTCAGGCCATTCATCTCCATGACAATGGTTCTGATCTCCTTAGGGGCAGGATAAACAACCATTCTAGCTATGATTGTGGACATATGGAAGAAGTTCAAGGTGAGTAGGTGCTTATGGCTGCCTCAACAGAAGATCCTCAGACCTATGAAAAAGCAATTGCAGATGAGAGGTGGAATGGGGCAATGATACAAGAAATGCACTGTATCAAGAAGAACAACACCTGGGAATTAACTGTGTGTCCTGCAGGTGTGATTCCTATTGGTCTAAAATGGATTTATAAGACTAAGTACACTGAGAATGGAGATCTGGATAAGCATAAAGCCAGACTAGTGGTGAAGGGCTATGCTCAGAGACCATGAATAAACTACAATGAGGTTTTTGCCCCGGTTGCTAGGTGGTCAGAACACTCCTGGCACTTGCAGCTCACCATGGACTTCCTGTGTGGCAGCTAGATGTCAAGAGTGCTTTCCTCAATGGTGAACTCACTGAGGATGTGTATGTTGAGCAACCACAAGGTTTTGTAGTTGCTGGGGAGGAATCTAAAGTCTACAAATTGGAGAAAGCACAATATGGTTTAAAGCAAGCTCCTAGGGCCTGGTACAGTCGCATTGAATCCTATCTCATCAGCATTGGGTTTGGGAAATGTCAGAATGAGGCTACTTTATTCATCAAGAAAACACAGCAGGGTATGCTAGTGGTGAGTATCTATGTGGATGACTTACTGTTTTTTAGCACAAGTCCTGAGATGGTGACTGATTTCAAGAAATCTATGGAAGCTGAATTCAAAATGACTGACCTGGGAAAGATGAAGTATTTCCTAGGGGTTGAGGTGCTGCAAAAAGACTCAGGGATATTCATCTGCCAGCAGAAGTATGCAAAGGAGGTTCTAGAGAGGTTCCACTTGTCTGACTGCAATTTTGTGCATAATCCCATTGTTCCTGGTGCAAAGTTGTCAAAATCAGGAGAAGGAGGACTGGTGAATGCTACTGAGTACTGAGTACAAGCAGCTTATTGGCAGCCTGCTGTACCTTACTGCCACAAGGCCAGATCTGATGTTCTCTGTGTGTCTGCTGAGCAGGTACTTGGAAGCACCAACTAAACAGCATCTACTTGCAGCCAAAAGAGTGTTGAGATACGTCAAAGGAACAATAAGCCATGGCATCATGTATCAAAGGAAGAACGGAGAGAACTGTCTCCTAGGGTACACAGACAGTGATTATGCTGGAGACATTGATGATAGGAAAAGTACTAGTGGGTATGTGTTCTTTTTGGCAGGAGGGGCACTTTCGTGGGCATGAAAGAAGTAGCATGTGTTGACATTGTCAACCACTGAAGCTAAGTTTGTAGCAGCTGCTTACTGTGCAGCACAGTGTGTGTGGCTGCGAAGGGTGCTGACTGAGTTAGGCTGGGAGGCTAGTGTGGAAGGAAGCACTGTCATTATGTGTGATAATTGCTCCACCATTAAGCTGTCAAAAAATCCAGTCTTACATGGTAGGAGTAAACACATAGATGTAAGGTTTCACTTCCTCAGAGAGTTGGCAAAGGAAGGAGTGGTGGAGTTGCAGCAATGTGGAACACAGGATCAAGCTGCTGACATAATGACCAAGGCATTGGGTCTGGAAACATTTCAAAGAATGAGAAGGAAGTTGGGGGTCTGCAGCGTGTCTGAGTTTGAGGAGCACTGAAGGCAGCTTGAAGATGTGAACTGGAACTCAGATTGGATGGAGTTCAGTTCAGAGGAGGATATGTTGGATTTAAATCCTTATGGCACAAGGATTAGTGATGTGCGCCAAAGGAAACCAGTTTAAATTTGAGTCTGTTTGTTTAGTTGAAACTGCGTCGTTTGCAGTTTATCTGTCTGAGTCCTTTATGTTTTATTTACTGCAAATAAGTCCTGAACAGATTTGTTTAGTTGTTGAGAGTTTGCAGCTGGATAGGTAGTTGAGGGAGCTGGTTTTCAGTGTTGAGGGTGTTAGAGTCGTTGGTAGTGGTCCGAGTCCTGCGGGTTACAACAACCTATTTATTCCTGCTTTGATTTCAATAAGAGATTTGTCAGATTGCACAAGTTTGTGATTCTACATACGCAACTTAGACTTAATTAGTTTCCTTCTTTTATATGATTTGTGCTTTCAAGTTTCAAACAACAAATAATTATTGGTGAGAAGCAGATGTTGTGACCCTTTAACACAACTCGAAGGGTGTTTGAAACCACAAGTTTGGTCGTCTTCTTCTATCACTGATCTTGCCGGTTCATGGAGGATCGTCGCTATCCTGACTACGGAGCGCACTTGCTTCTCCAAAATTTCTTGAACTGCGGTTATGGATTACTGGTTAATTTTATTGGCTTTTTTTGGAAAGTGGTGAATTAATTAAGAGAGAAGCAATTAAAGCTCTGCTTAAACACGTTTCCACGGAGGAAATGCATCACCTGCTATTTATGTTTGGCTTCTGGTGAAGCCATACCACTAAACTCGATTTGGAGCATCGGATACCACTTAAGTGCGATTAAAGTGTTTCCCTCCTTATTTCCATCCAGTTCACTAACGACACAAATTAAATATTATTTTTCTGACACATCCGCCTTGCCACATGTACTGGAACTGCTGAGTCGCTATATATTTTGACACATCACTCCATACCTCTGACTCAAATACTAACATGGAAAGAAACATCAGTAATCAATTCAAAAGAAGAATTTGAGACTCTGCAGCTCTGCCCCACTTTTCCCCACTAAAACCCTTTGTCTTCTCTCTACCCCAATATCAACAAAATCCGGCCTCTTGTCTCTTTATCTCCAATGCGTTTTGCCGCCGGTACAAAGAGCAAGCTCGGAGCTTGCATGATAAACCAAATTGTAGTTCGATCACCATCCTCCCTTCGATTCCAACACTGAACCGTCAACCCAAATCAGCGAGGAAAAAACTAAAAGTAGTGTAGCTGATAAACCGCCAAGCGCCAAGCAAAAGATTGTGGTTCGGTTGGCCAAACACTTATCAGTATGACTCTAGTTCTGAGAAAATCAGAAAATCAGGCTCATTTACCCTTATACGGTAAAGATTCTCTCTTTCCTTCTTTCAAATGGTGACATCTAGAGGTGGCAATTAAGATCCAAATTCATGAATTCAATTCAATCCATCCACCAAATTATCCACCTAATCCAATCCATTTAAATTCAAACTATTTGATCCAAATCCAATTGGATTGGTGGATTCATGGATCAATCCATGGAGCCAAATGGTAAATTACGATTTGGTACTTATATTTTTTATATTTTACATTTTGGTACCTAAAATTTATATTTTTATACAAATAATATCATTGGAAAATTACATTTTGATACCTAAAAATTTTCATTATGACATTTTAGTACCAAAACTTTTCAAATTTTACATTTTGGTCCAAGGCTTTGATGTCATTTGGATTCATGGATCAATCCATCAATCCATTTGATCCAATCCATTTGATCCAATCCATTGGATCCAATCCATTTGATTCATGGATCCACCAATCCAATACACAAATCCGATCCAATTACCACCTCTACTGACATCTTTGAGAAGAAAGCTTTTGAACTTTATCACAATTGGTTTGCATGCATTCTATTTTTAGCTTGATTCACGAGAAACTAAGAAAGAAAAGAGCAAATGTGTGGTCCCAAATTGCACTTCATGGTAGGGTCACAATGTTTTTTTCAGTGTTATTAAAGACGAGCCGAGCCGCTCGGCCCGACCGGTAAAACCGCCACCCAGTCATAAAACCGGCTTGAAACAGTCTAAAAGCCGCTCCGGTTTTATGTAGCGGTAGGCGAGCGGCCGAGGCGGTTAACCGTTCGAGCCGATTGAGCCGCTGGTCCGGTTTTTGCCATTCAGCCACTAAATTTAATTAAAAAAATTGCAGAAAATTGAAAATTGAAATAAACTAAAAACGTAGGGCTCTCAAACTGAATCCTTATTTCCATTTCACAATTTCGAAGGAAAGAGATGAGCTCTGATTAATAAATGTCCACTATTTATACTGATAACGTTTATTAGGTACCGGTTCTCTAACGGTTTTTAAACTGTCTAATGTCGGCTGGACCACTAAAGTGCTAGCCGTTCGCATTACCGGGTCATGCTCCGATTCGGTTATGACAATATTGTTTTTTTTAGATGGCAACATATGTGGTTTATATTATGAATATATATGTGGATGTCAATTGCCCAAATACCCCAACTACCACCATCTTCTCAACCTAATTAATGACCTAACCCACTATAGATCACCATTATGATTAAGTGGATGCCCATCATACACATCCTCCATCTCAATTAATTGGGAGTCTAGACTCAATGGCTATAAAAGAAAAGCTACAGAAGAAGGAAAGACACACCAACAAGCTCAATTTCTCCCTCACTTCTCCATGTATCTATGTGTCTACAATCCTCTGTAATAGGGATACCAGAGTATTGAATAAAAGCGGTGTTACTCCTTCTCTTCTATTTCGTGTTAATGGTGTTGCTTATTCCCGTCATCGGGATAATTATTCATAACACGTTATCAGCACGATTGTTCTATGTGCTTGAGATCCTGTCGATCTGAGCAAATTTTGCAGTATAAACTTTTTACCATTAGCACGATTGTTCTATGTGCTTGAGATCCTGTCGATCTGAGCAAATTTCGGAGTATAAACTTTTTACCATTAGCACGCTTGTTCTTGTACTCATGATCTTGTCGATCTAAGCCAACTCCAAAGTGGAAGTTTACCTTCTTTTATACTCAAGATCCTGTTTATCTTAAGAAAATATGAAAGGGAAGTTTTTACCATTATCTCGATATTATATACCTAAGATCCTGTTGATCTTAAGGTAATTTGGAAGTTCAAGTTTTTACTATTATCAGGATTGTTTTACGTACTCAAAATCTAGTAGATTTGAGAAATATACCATTGACATGAAGTCATGAAGCCCGCCTAAGATCCTGTCGATCTACAACAACACCAACACAGATATTTCCACCAGTGAGAGATCGAGTATTAACCATCAGAATATCAAGAGATTTATTCTTCCATTTGTCGGAGAGAGTAACTTCATCAATAGTGGTCAAGAGTTACTTTTGACGCGGTCGTATCCATTTGGTCAGTATACAACTCCCATATTATTTTCCCTCTGTTGAATATTAATTCTCAAATTATGTTATAACAATTCTTGCCTCGTGCATAGTAATAATTGTTTTTATCTACTAAAATATATATATATATATATATATATATATATATATATATATATATATATATATATGCAAGAAAGGAAAAGTAATGCACCATATGCATTATATACTTTGTACTGTATGCGACTATATGTATACCGATATTATATATACTTTATTTTATAATCTATCTATCTATATCTATCTATCTATCTATATCTATCTATCTATCTATCTATCTATACTATATATTATGACAATTCAAAAGCAATCTCTTGCCACATAAGCACTTGGATGATCCACAATTTGCCAAGTTGGACAACTTTTTTACAAACAAAAAAATTAATTATTAATGCATTTATGGAGCTAGCTCTCTCTTCTTTAATATTTCCATTTCTTTTATCCAATTATTCCTTTTCATTTATCCATTTATTATTTTTTAATAATAAGTTACATGTTGATAAACTCAACCAAACACACATAAATAATATTTTTTTATCAAGTAAACAAAATATAAGTAATAAAATAGAGAGTGACATATATCACATTTGTTTAAATAAAAAATATCTGATTCAACTTTATGATGTAAATTTTCAACTCATTTTTACTAAAATTTAAAGATAAGTTACATTTTGATGAAACATAAACAATAATGTTCTTATCGATTAAACAAAATATATATATGAAAAGATAGAAAATAAACATTTGACATTCAATTAACTTTAAAAAATAAACTATATTACTTTAGCAAAATGTCAGATTATAATCTTGATCGAGTAGTTATATTTATTTATTTAAAAAAGACTTCTTATTCATTTAGATCATGTTCTACCTTAAACTCCTCAAATGAAGAGGAATCACATCAATGATATTTTATAATGTGCCCTATGTTCACATTAATAATATTTGCTCTATATCATGTTGATTGAACAAGCTCTATTGAGGCCCTAAGTCATATGCCAAAAAAATTCATTTCAGATTGGAGTTATCATCGACGGTTATAAATAAAAAATTTTAAAATGACATAAGTATGATTATTGACGAACTTTGACTTCATATCACAAGATGAGACACATGATTCCTTATCAATTATTAAAATATGTGTGTATTGGAGACACTCTTTATCAATTAGTAATATATAAGTGATAAAACCTTTGAAAATTACACATTCAACGATCATATTAAGACCAAAATCCTTTATAGTATGTGTGAGTGTCTTAGATTGAGATTCTAAGCCAACATATAAATAATGACCACAGGTTGAGGTTTAGTCTAAACTTCAAGAATTAACAATTGATACATATTGTATAATATACTAAATTAAGTGTCTTTGACAAAAAAAAAACTAACATCCAAAATGGAAATGAGTCGAGATTAGAGAATTTAATCATCGTGAGGGCTACGGTGTGTGTCAAGTTTCAATGTGGATGAATAAATTGATCCAACACTAAAGTATCTTTACCAATAATTTCTCACTAAAAAGTCCTAATCTTTACAACATTGGTTGAGAGTTCATCCAAACTCGAGGATCATGAATATGTATTGGATTTCCAAAGGTCCTAAAATCTCAATCCCTTTCGGGGGCAAAATACCTCTGATCACAACCATAGGTGCCAAAGAAGAATGAAAAGAAGCCCAAAAATAGCAAAATAGAACATAACCTCCAATGGTTGTCTGACGTTATGGGGATAAAAGCAGGATCTCTATCACAAGGGTGGGGCATAGGCAAACAACACTCTTAATATGAGTATTTGGCGAGATAAGATAGGTCTGACGAAGTATCTGGATAATTTTGAGTCTACAATATATACACACACAAATATACATATATATATAATATCAAGGTATACTATACTTTTGAATTTACTCAAGATACGATAGAAGATAGGTATGACGAAGTATGTGCATCAATTAGAAGTTCAACAAGTTAGGTTATATTATCATGCCCCAAAAAACTCCGGTTAATTTTGGTGTAAATAGTAAATCTCAATGGTTGTATGGTAGTGTAAACGCAAGAGTATAGCGTACTCCTGGTGCATGCTAGCTTGAACTATATAGATGTGTGTGTGGTTCTGGTTGGCGTACGCTAAATATTAGTGTTTTGGTTGACAAATTTTGACATAAGTTCTAAATGGGATGTGACAGCGACATAATTTATTATTAGAAAACTGAAGCATCACAAGTGAGCGTGCTAAATATTGGAAATTTTCAATATAGACATACTACAAACTTTTTTATGAATCAAGAACACAAAATAATTAGAATATTCAAAATGATTTAAACATATAAATAAGTTAATTAATATAAATTATAAAATAAATATCTCCAGCCAACTGGCCGGGTAAAAAGCTAGTGTGTTTGATAGATAATGTGGTTTGATGTGTATGATTTAAGTAACTTGACTACATGGCATATATTGACTAATCTTTATATAACATATTTACTAAGTTATGATTATTTAATTCTTGACATTATTATTGTTGTTACTACAATTGTTTACTATGCTCCAGAGGTAGCAAGTAAAAGGAATTCATAACTATTGAAAGTTATACAAATAAATGGTGAAAAGGGTTAAGATCAACATCTCGGTAGATAAACCAGATATGTGAGATATGAAAAATCTTTTTAAATGTAATTCCATTCCCAGAAGTGAATGTGAAAAACAACGATGTCAAAATGTCGAATGGTAAAATGGTTATAGAATACCAACCATAATAACATTCACCAGAAGTGAAACGTTTATTTGGTCAGTGATTGAAAATGCAAGAACAATATCGTACTAGTTGTACGTTGAATCGTGATAATCGGCTTTAATATATCGGATTCTTGAGCTTTATGTGACTATCTCATGGTATGTTTGAGCCGATTGGTGCTATTTGAGGGAGAATTAATCTGGAATGGTTGAAAAGTCATTACCATCTTGTGTTGGAGTTTTGCTATGTTTTAGGTGAAGGAATTTACGGAGAAAGCACAATAGGTATGCAGTAGAAGGTAGGCGTGAAGTGGGCTTAAAGCCCAGGAAGTGTGAACCGGAGTTGGAGAGGCAATGAGACATGGACAGGAAGGACCAGAAGAGGATTGGGGTCAATTAAATGGCCCAACTTCTGTGTCCTCTTCTGGAAGGAGAAGGGAACGAAAGAAAAGGCCAGGAATTGGGCAGAGGGCATTTTGGACGGAGCATTTTTGTGGCCCAACTTCTTTGTCCTGGAGTGGAATAATTGGAACAAGGGAGGAGAAAAGACGGAAAGAAAGGAATTTTTTGGGGACACGCAAGCAGGGGAGACTTGGACCGGAATTCTTTGGACGGAGAGAGGGCGAGCAGCAGCGTGAAATTGGAGAGGGACAACAGCGCACACGGAGACGGACTGGGACGAAATATCTTTGGTGAGACAGCGGCACAGCAACGCGGGACAAGATAGAGCAGCAATCACCACCACCACGCGACATCGAGCCTGTCACCATGGCAGACCAGGATCGTTCGATCATGGCTCTCTTGAATCAAAGGAATGGAGCCCGAGCTTCATGTGTTGTCATTCCGGCTGGGGATGCAACCATGGAGATTACCCCAGCATTTATCAACATGATCACCAACGGGTATACTTTCTCCGGGGCTAGCAGTGAGGATCCTCACGAGCATCTCCACCGGTTCGTGAGCATATGCGATACCATGAAAAGCCCCACAGTATCTGATGATGCAATTCGTCTTCGGATGTTCTCGTTCTCTCTGTTAGGGAACGCATCACACTGGTTCCAGAACTTAACACCCCGTTCCATCACGACATGGGCTCAGCTTGAGAAGACCTTTCTGGATAAGTACTTTTCTCCTGCCAAGGTAATGAAGAGGCTGGAAGAAATTGTTACTTTTAAGCAAGCTGAAGACGAGAGTCTAACTGAGGCATGGGAGCGCTACAAGGAACTGTTGATGAGATGCCCAAGTCATGGTCTTGAGGATTAGAACGTGATCATTATTTTCTTCAATGGAATCAGAAGGGAGTTCCGGGATTCTCTTAATAATGCTTCGTGGAATGGTTTCACAAGCATGGAGGCACCAGCATCATATGATCTAGTAGAGAAGATCCGTTCAGAAGCCACTTAATGGGGTAGTGAGAGCAGTATTCGAAGAAGAGGAGGCTTGCATGAGGTTGACAGAGCTTCAATTATTGAAGCCAAGATAGATGCCAAGTTAGATTCTAAGTTCGATGCACTCGAACGAAGGCTGGCTAAGATTGCTCTGGGTAGACAAGAGGAGGTTACTTTATGTGAACTTTGCGAGGGTGCTCATCATAGGGATATGTGTCCATGGGAGCTGCTCAGTTGGAAGATGTCCAATATATCAATAATCCGCAAAGTCAAGGCCAGGGTGGTATGTATTCAAATACATACAACCCTCAATGGAGACATCACCCCAACATGTCATGTTCGAATAATAATCCAGTTGGTGTTCGAAACATCCCACCTCCTGGTTTTCAACAGCAGCAGCCTCAACCAGAGAAGAAGCCACAGCTGGAGGAGTTGATTTTGGCTCATATGCAGAAAACAGACAATAATTTCAAGGGTCTTGATCAATCTGTCACTCAACAGCTAGCCATCAACAATAATATGCAATCATCTATGCTAGCTATGGAGAGGCAAATAGGCCAGATGGCTCAAACTTTGGCAGATATTCAAGGTAGGATTCCCGGGACTTTACCAGCAAATACTGTGAGGAATCCGAAGGACGCCATGGTTGTAGCTAGGGCTGGGAAAATAGACCAGACCGTTAGAAAAACCATGGTCCAAACCATACCGCATAGTTTGGTCCGGACCGTAGACCGTTAAGTATGGTCTGGTCTGGTCCATGGTCTGTATTATTTTATGTTTTGATCTCTTGGTCTGGTCTGGTCTAGACCGCGGTTTACCGGACCAAACCGTGGACCCAATCGACTTGTCAATACGTGTTAACATCCCATTCGACCACTCTCCCAACTCCCACAACGACACCCAAGTCTCAACCTTAGTTTGTGAATCTCGTCCCTCCTTCATTCACAACTACATTTAACCAAAGAGTAGAGCTAATCGTGTCTCCATATGACATTATGTTAATGTTTATGACGTTATGGTCCAAGTTGAGATGCTTTTACTTTGTATCTTTGTTATGTACTAAGATTTAAGGTATCAAAATTATTCATGCATGTTAGGATTAATGTTTTAAGGAAAATAACAATTATTTTTCTTGGTTATTGGTTTAATTTTTTTTGTGGTTGACTAAAAAAATTATTCATTTTTTGTTGAGTGTGGTCTATCTGGACCAGACCAGACCGAACCAGACCGCACAGGCGTGGTCTGGACCGGACCATATAATCTGTGGTCTGGTCTGCGGTCTATACTTCAGCCTCTCGGTCTGGACAATGTACCATATATATGGTCTTGTCTGGACCAGACTGCACCGTTTCCTAGTCCTAGTTGTAGCTGTCACATTGAGGAGTGGAAAGGCCTTGGAGGATCCAGAATGTTTGAGGAAGTCAACGAACTTAGAAAAAGAATGAGCTGTAGAGGTAGAGGGTGAAGAAAGTGCAAAAGCTGGAAAATCTGACTTGCACAGGCAAACTGATGCAATCTGCCTGTGCATGAGCATTCTGCCTGTGCACCTCCAAAGGTGGAAAAATTCAAGAATGAAGAGGTAAAACCTTATGAACCTCCTGCATCATTCCCTCAGAGGTTAATGAAGCCATTGGAAGACCCAAACTTCAAGAAATTTGTGAATCTCTTCAAGCAACTTCATATCAACATACCATTGGCTGAGGCACTTGAACAGATGCCTACATATGCTAAATTCTTAAGGGAGTTGCTGACAAAGAAGCGTAAATGGGTTGATCTAGAGAAGGTAACCCTTACTTCTGAATGTAGTGCTGTGATTCAAAATAAATTACCAGAAAAGAGGGATGATCCAGGCAGCTTCACCATTCCATGTGTCATTGGAGGTAGAGAGTTCGATAAATCACTTTGTGATCTTGGAGCAGGAATTAATTTGATGCCATGCTCAGTCTATAAGTAATTGGGATTGGGAGATGTTCTTAAGCCTACTCGGATTATTCTCCAATTGGCTGATCGATCAGTGAAAATTCCGAAAGGAGTGTAGGAGAATGTATTGGTGAAGGTTGGGAAGTTTATTCTCTCAAAAGATTTTGTAATTCTGGATATGGAAGATGATCAGGGAGTGCCTCTCATTCTTGGTAGACCTTTTCTAGCCACTGGCGATGCACTCATCGATGTTGGGAGAGGCAAGTTGACATTCCGAGTAGGTAAGGAGGAGGAAATTTTTAATGTCTTTCAAGTTGACCATAATCACGATGAATTTGATGAGTTTGAAAGTGGAGCTCGAGAAAGGAAAAATTCATCTTCCTGTGATATTGGACCACCCAAAGAACTATCACATGTCCTAGCAGCTCAAAGTCTAAAATCAAAGCGACAGCGGAAATCCTTGCCAGGGCACCTCAAGTATAGATATTTGGTAAGGATTTCAATCTTCCTGTTATTATTCCTTCTTCACTGACATTGAAACAGGAAGAGTCCTTGCTTGAGGCGCTGCAATACCACCTACGCCTCACTAAAGGATCCAACATGCCAACTAAGAAGGTCACACCAAATTTTCGCACACCTGGCCCTGCAAAGGTGACTCATATGTTGGATGGAGGTTATGCGTTCTATCATTTCTCGGGAGGGTATTCTGGATACCTTTCCATACCCATTGGTTGAAAGCTCCATGAACGTCAGGCTGAGGACGTTAAACAAGCGCTTCTTGGGAGGCAACCCAAGGTAAGTTTTCTTTTCTTTATTTTTCTTTTTAGTTGTGTCAAACCCGTGCATGTTTAGATTACGAGTTGAACATTAAGGACATTGTTCCATCCTGAGTGTGGGGTGGTGAGTCTTAGTGTTTGTTTGTCCCTATTGCAAGTGGTAAGAACCCCCCCCCCCCCCCCCCCCCCCAAAAAAAAAACTGTCATTTGGCTATGCAGGTTCAGTCTGCCTGTGCTAACCTAAAGGCTAAAAAACACCTAAAAATCAGAAAAATTAAAAACAAAACCTTGTACTCTTGTGGTAACATGATGTGAGTGACCGTGATGCGTGTGAAATGAGTTTGTGCTTGAAGGAAATCATCAAAATCACCTCCACTAGTGTTGAATTGCATAGTTCTTCACAATGAGCTTGATGTTTTGACTGACTTGATGTGCTTTGAATGAGCAAACTATTTTAGCAAAACTCTATTTTGGGAGGATAGTGTAATGTCTTATGGTGAAGTGGTTAGGTGGAGAGCATTGACCATTCGACATGTTTGGATACCATGCTTACTTGCATCGGTTGTGAGCTTTTGATTTTGCAATGAGTCTCTCTATTTTTAATGTTTTAGATGGGGTGAACTGTATCTTTATAAAAGAAAACACTACCTGGCAAGTAAAATATAAGAAAGTTGCCATAACAATTAATGTGTGGGTAAAATGCCAAAATCGTGTGAGGCAATCACTCATTGCACAGGGGGAGTAGGAAAGGTTCAACTGAGCATCGGTTCGTGACCGTACGATGTTGCTTATCAAGTACAATCCCTTGCCGAGTGAAGTGCCATTTGGGGATGTGCAGTGACCCTCCACATGGACCGAGGAAAAGGAGTTGAAAGAAGCCCTTATGCGAGTGCTAAGAAGCAGAAATTACTCTTGCTCGGTCACCGGTAGTAAGAAACAAATCCCACTTGTACTAAATACGACAACTCAGCAAGCAAAATCAGAAAGAGAGAAAGTCTCTCCTTGTCAGAAAGGTAGTGATGTGCTTAAAGTTAAAACCAAGTTTGTGAAAAGCTTCCCCCATTTGTTTTTGAGACTCATGCTTAATTAATTGCTTATGATTGGTGTGAGTAAGCCACACTGTCCTCACGAGATATGCACCTCACTGATGTGGTTAGATTCTCCTAATAATTGTTGCACCATAAGTTGTTAATCACCCACTACCAACGATCGGAATTGAGTGTTGCTATTTGAGTTTTTGGTGGATTCGAGTTAGTCAATGGTAATGGTTGCAAAGAGCTTGAATGTGGGGTGAAAAGGTATGATCAATAAAGCACAGCTCATGTAACACCCCGACATTTAGGTCTAGGTTCGACCGAGCAGTTGGATCGACGATTACGTACGAAGGGTTCGACCATAGATTAGAGATAATTGTAATAATAACTATTATTATTATCATCATCATAATAATCATCACTCATCATTCACCTCACGTATTTTCCCCTCATGGCAAACTATTATTATAATCATCATCATCACTTACACGTCCCCAGCAAGTAAAAGGATGGAAACAAAAGAATGGAAAAAAAATAAAATAAAATAATAACACCCAAAACCAGTAACTCCCTCGGCTCTCTTTCTTCCCGAGCAGCCGTTTGCAGCCGTTCACCAAAAGCATTAACTCCCCATAATGCTTAGCTTCATTTTTTTAATGAGAAGGAAGCCTCCCCAATCCTCACCCGACCCATATCCCACACCCTCGGTTCTCTTTTCCTCGTCAAAACAAGAGCAGGTGGCATCGCGACCTTCTTTCTCGCGAAACGCCGGCGATGGGAAGGCAGAGTAGGTCGGAAAGAAGAGGAAGAGAGGGTTCTGGTGGCGGTCCGGCGATCAGGACGAGGACAGTGCAATGAAGAGGACGACGCGGTCCCTGAGGAGAGGAGGAAGGCGGGCGATCCGTGGACGCGCGGGGGGTTCCAGGAACGCAGCGGCGACGATGAATCTCGACGTTGACTTCGACGTTCGTGTCGTTCCCGGCGTCGACAAGGCGATTAGTGAAGCAGGGAAAATGGAGAGGGTGAGAGCCTACCCTCCAAAGCGCCGGGGAGTTTCGGCAATCCGTCATTGGCCTCCGAATAGTGGGCCGAGGAGAGACGAGCTGGTTGCCGGCAACGGCGGTGAAACAACGACGATGGTGACCGTTGGGAAATCGTTGCTCGAGGAAGAAGAGGAGCCGGAGGAGTGTGATTGTTGTGAGTTCGAAGATAGGGAGGA